TATAATAGAAAGTTTTATTGTCTTTTTCAAGTAAACTTCAAAGTCTACTTCAATAACGAACTTTAGGTTCATATCTATATGTTTATATAGCATAAATACGCATTTCTAAGAACTGCATTCTAAAATATTATTAAATTAAAAGCCGTTTGTAATAAAAAAAAATTATTATTTTTTAATGATTTTAACAATTTATCGATTTTTCACTTCTTTGTTAAACCTCATCCATGTTGTAGTAATAGTCAATCATAATAAAACTTAAATTATTATATTATGCATTTTTGTAACGCTTTTAAAGACTTTTATATAAATTCCACTTCTTAGGCGAACCTCCGCTAGCATTGCTTATTCTCTTCTTTGTTACTGTAATTTGATAATATTTCCACACATAAACGCAGGTTAAAAATGCATTATTAAAATGCAAATAAATGGCTGAGAACAGAATTCCGCATTAAAAATTTAACTCAAAACTGTGTTAAGGTGTTTTTCTTAATTTCCTAAAACTGCAGATTTCAAAATCAAAATAAATTTGAAAAATCGTTGTTTAATCGTTTTGAATTTTCAACTCATTATAACTGCCATTTCATTGAACTCCAGGTGAGGTGTTTATTTTACGAGATATGCTCGATGTTGCATTGAATGTTATTACAACATATCATAAAAATATGTTTTTAATTAAAGGGCCTTAATGATTGCTTTAACAGATTTACTTGATTTATTTAAAAAAATATATATAACTACTATATTACACATAGAAAATATTTTTGATAATATATTCAGATAAACTCAGCTGTGTATAGGTGAACACCTGAAATCAACACTAAGCATAAAGAAAAATTGCATACGAAAATTCTAGTTTAGACAAGTTGTGGTTGTAGAAGTTTAAATCATAAAGTTTAAATTAAACTGAGTTTCAACATCAAAACACATCATCGATGTACTTGAAATAAGTATCTATGCATATGCAGATACTTGAATTAAATAACTGCATATAAATAAATGCATTTTTGTCAATGCAAAACGTATAAAACACACATCTTATACATTTTCATTCATTCACTAATAACTCAAATAGCTTCATCTTACCATTAACCACAGACGCATTCGACTCTTGTCTCGATTCTTGAAGTCTTTCAGATCCGCTACAGACGTAAATGCTAAGCAGAAATTAAACATAATTTCTGTTGCGGCTGGAAAGGTTACTTGCTCCAGCAAAAATATTGTAATTGATTGGTCAATGTTTCTGCAAGCGGAGAAGAATAAGAGTATCGTGCATCAAAATTTGTCAGTGCAGACTGCAGATGGGGTTCGGTCAGATATATGAGCGCATATAATTTCCATTTAATTATGGTAATGACAGTCATCAAGTTGAACAATATAACAATAAACCAACAATAAACCGAACGTACGATTGGAAAATTAAATTATATCGCATAAATCAATCCGAAAGATATTGATTTGTTCACGTATCGCTGTTTGACTGGGGTACTTTATTTTATTGAAAATATGATTATTTGAACAAAAATGCAGCAAGAAGGCATGCTTTTGGTAATTTGAGAAAATTTTATTTTTGGGTAGTCGAAATACTGAGGTTAAATTGTGGTTTTTAGCCGGCATGGTCAACTAGTCGATCGCCAGTCATATTTGATCGAAGATCGTGTAATGATTTTGAATACTTTTTTTCGCTTTTTATTTTTTATAAATAATTTATGTAAGTTATTTATTCATAATGTGAAATTATTTATAAATTAGCTACGGTTATAGAATAGAAACTATTATTAGCTCTCGGCTAAGCAAATTTCATGTTCTTCTGGTTTCTTTCCGTTGATCATAACCTTTTTGATTAGATATGCTGAGAATTTTCAAAACACAATAAAATAAGATATTGTGAATAATTATAAACTAAATATTTCTATGAGAGAAAATAATTGATCGTTAAAAGAAGTGCAAGAATTTAAACTGAATTCAATAATTTAAATTACAAGACCATATGACATTTATAAGGGATATATAAAAGTCAGAAATAAGCTCATAATAAATATTTTAATAGACTTTATATATATGTTCGACAAAATTGTTTTCATTTAATCAAAACTATTAATTATTTAACATTAATTACTTAATGAACAGCAGTTCACAGTGTACAGTGTAAATAAAGGACCACATATGAAGTAGCCTCCATTAAAACTGGTATATATAAAGGATTGTAATTTATATCTTATTCATTATAAATCGCAGAACCTTTTCCTACATACACCTTTACAAAAAATTTATTAGCACTTATGTTTTATTTTATGAAGGTGAAAAAACAACTTCATTAACTCGGTATTACTTCATAAAAAAATGTACATAAACGCAGCTCAACTTTACGGTAATCAAGTCTTGGCACTTTATATATATTTTATTAATGCAATTACAGATTAAAGATGTTAAAATTCTTAATTTTGATCTGTCAAAACAGATAAATTAAAGACTTTAAATTATAAATCGCGAAGTGACCTTAATTTGTATATTTTTAAGTAGAATATAATATACACACATATGTGTAAAACTACATTGTACTAAAAATGTTTAAGTGCTACCAAGATTTATAAAAATCCATTTTTTTTTAAATTTCAATGTTAAATAAAATATTAATCATTAACGACAGGTCAGATATAAAAAATAAATGCAGATGGGAGATATAAAATTAATGATAATAAAAATGCAAAAAAAAATTATTAACAAACAAACCTAAGATGATTAAATGATGCAATATTACAAACACAAGTTGCTTAATTTGTCTTTGTAAATTTTATCAGCAATATTTATTCTTTGATATAGACGTAAGAATCAAATTATTATATATGAATCAATAAATGAATATGTTTACTGTAATTTTCAAGAGAAAGCCTTATCTATAAAATAGAAATTATACAGAAATAAAATAATAAATAAAGAAATAAAGAGCTCGGCATACTTTCATCCCGATTACATTTTATCCCTCTAACTCAATGTGTTCTAACCTACAAAGGCTACTAGATTTTTAAGGCGAAACAAATCTGAATTCAGATTATTCTCTGATTTCTTATTTATAATCAAAGGATGCGAGTATTTGCAGGTTCACAGAAATTTAAATAAAAATTTTATAAATCATATCTCTTAGTTTACTACTGTTGTCTGAAAATGTTTAAAGTAGTTCTGTCTTGATTTTATTGTATCGAATGAGGTGTAAAGTCTTTATTCAAAGGATGTTGTTAGGTTTCTTAATAGAATTAATTTGTGCAAGTTACGTTAGGATACTTTTTCAGGGTCATCAGAATATATTTCATATGAATGATGTACCATAGTCCTTTGTAATAATATATAGTTCCGATGCCACGTTATGAAAATATTTTTGGCTGGGGTCGGCCTTATTCATCAACATAATTTCCTCTAATAGTAATGCAATCATTCCATTGTTTCTTTAAAATTTTAAGAACCCTCTTATAAAAAGATTTATCTTTGACCTAAAAAGAGGCGATGACTTTTTCATTGAACAAACATCCTTTTCTATGTAGCAAATGTAGCAGTTGTTTATTAATAATAAATAAAATGTATATAACATCAGTTACTTCTGAGACATTCTATTTTTATCCCTTATATAGTCAAACCAATTTAGTTGATTTTAGGTAATTTTAAATATAAAATAAATTTCATGAATTTTGAATGGATGGAGAAGATTTAAACAAATGATACTAAAATAATTAAATCGAAACTGCTCACAATATATCAATAATAGATACTTTGATTTACTATTTTCATCAGGAAACTATTTTAAAAAAAAGTCAACCACAAAAATATATTATTATTCTCTTATTGCTTATTCTCTTATTATTTATTTTTTTTTTTTTACACCATGCCACAAATTGTTGATAAGTGACTGTGTCGTCAAAACAGTCAATAAAATTTTTTCAACACGTTGACCTTTATATTTACAAAATAAAAAAATTATTTGTTTATTTATGTAATTATTTTATTAAATTTTACTCATTATTTATTCAATTAACTAAAAAAACTTCTTCAAAAAATTCATTTTATTTTATTCTCAACTTGCAGATTATTATTCGATTTAATAAAAGTTTTAGCTATTTTGATAAATAAAGGCAAAATACTCCTTAAAAACCATGGCTATAAAATAATACAAATTTATATGTTTTTCTACTTGTTACGGATGTATGGACAACATCATTATGTACATAAATCTTTCAACTCTAACCCATTTGATTAACCTTGACTTTCAGACCTGTGAGAAAGTTCATTTACTATCTTGGTGCGGTGTGAACACTAAACAGTGCATGTATATATCATAAAAACTGTGGTAATCACTTTGGAAATTAAAAGAACAAATTAATTAAGCCACAGACACTCAAATAGCACGATTTTTCCCACCAGAAGAAACACAATGAGAAAATAATCGTTCATTTTTTCTATTTCAAAAGTGTGTTAGGTTTTATTGACATTCACAGTTTAACATAAAAAAGATTTTAAAATAACCTCACAAACGCTTGGATTTGTAAGCCGACAAGGTCGTATAATTGAATGTCTGTCCATACAAAATCCAATATTTTCTTTATCGATACATGCACTTGAAATTTTTAATTTAGTAATATAAGTAAAGATGCCTCTTCATGCAACAAAAATGTAAAAAGTAAAAAAAATTCGTTTAAATCTATATTTGAAATACTTTTAAGCCGGTTTTTACTTTATAAACAAATAAGTACAATGACCATTATTCCACACAATTCTGATTTAATATTTTATCTAAATTCGTTTTTAAAATCTTGTATTAATACCAGTTTTTCTGGTGCCTCAGCAGTGAATGAGAAAATAAATATTTTACAAACTTTATTTAAAGCTTATCCATTTCAAAATAATAAATTGCATTAAATTTTTAGAACCTAACCTGATACAAGGCTAAGTGCTTTTTAGTAATAAAATATTTTACAAACAAAAAAATTAAAACAATAATTTTTTTTTTTTAGAATTAAACGAACAATAAAGCTTGGACGAATTTGTAACAATCAACAGTTCATTAAGTGAACAATAAAAACATGTTCAGGCCTAGTCAGTGGCTGCTGACAGCTGTCCTATTGGTAATTAATTTTTCCATAGCTATCCATAAAAAAAATAATAATTCGGAATACTTTTGCAGATCATAGCTTTCAGTTCAGCCACTAGTAATGATTTGCTTGATAATGAGATATTCGCACAGGACCAAGAAGTTAGTAAGCGAGTTCTACGTCAAGGCCATAAAGGCAGCGAACACAGCAATATAGAGAAAATTGATGTGAAATGTGATGCTGGAAGTGGTATGCTTGTGAGCATAGACTTTGAAAACAACTTTAACGGCATTATATACAGTCAAGGGTACTATAATGATCCAAAATGTCGGTACGTACAGAGAAATCATTTTCCTGCATTTACTATATTATAAATGTACTTATTTCAGTTATGTCAATGTTGGTAAAAATGAACGTAGTTTTGTTTTTACTGTGCCTTTTGAAGGTTGCGGCAGTAAGCCATCTTGTACCATATGCGCTTCCGTTGATAACATTTTAATAATACAAGATGATGAAAATGTCCAGGAAGCGTGGGACACTGCCAGAAAAATTACTTGTAGTCGCAGTGATGAACAAGAAAAAACGGTTTTCTTCAAGCCATTCGTTGTTGAAATGTTGGAAGTTATTACGGTAGATACTTCAACAGGACCAGTAGAATGCTGGATGGAAATAGGCTTAGGTGTTCCCCCAAACCTAAAACAAATCACTTCGACATTAAAACTCGGTACAGATATAACATTTACAATAAACGTCAAGCACGAGACTCACAAATGGGACGTAAATATTCTTCAATGCTATGCATTTGACGATCCTGACTACAATGCTAGAACAACAAAGAAACTACAACTGTCCGACAAAAATGGATGTTCAATAAAACCAAAACTTTTTGGCGAATGGAAGAAAATAGAGAAATCCGCTTCGGGGTCGGACATCGTAACATCTGTTTATTACAACAGCTTAAAAGCCTTTAAATTTCCAGATCGTGCACAGGTGTACTTAAAGTGTGATATTGAGTTATGCAGTGGTACGTGCGAAAAGGGCGTCAGTTGCGAGGACCAAATCAATATAATTAAACCACCAAAGTGTTTCCCAGGATCAAGAGATCCAGCATGTCTACCCGAAATTACGACACTTGCACCAAGATGTTATCCAGGTTCTCAAAATCCATTATGCAATGAAATTTATAGAACCTCAACCGTGACAGCAACAACCAAAAAATTCGATTGTGTTCCCGGGTCTACTGATCCACGTTGTCAACCAGCCACTTACTTACCACCGACTACAACCATTAGAACCACAATCAAGCAAAAATGCTACCCAGGTTCACCTGATCCAAGTTGCCCAAAAATAGTAATCACAACACAGAAACCACGCTGCTATCCAGGCTCTACGGATCCTACGTGTTTTCCAACAACACCCAAATTAGAATGTTTTCCTGGTTCAAATGATCCTCGCTGTCCACAAACCACACCATCATCTACACCAAAACGATTATGTTATCCAGGTTCCCCCGATCCATCGTGCCCACAAACAACTACTAAGCAAAGCTGCTACCCAGGATCAACTGATCCACATTGTCCACAAATACCAACCACAATACCAACACCAAGATGTTATCCTGGATCAACAGACGCTTCCTGCCCTCAGCCACCCACTTACTTACCACCAACAACAACATCGAAACCGAAATGTTACCCTGGCTCCACCGATCCATCATGTCCACAAACTCCAAGGACAACTCCAAAACCAAGATGTTATCCAGGATCTACTGATCCCTCTTGTCCACAAACGCCGAAAACAACCTCTAAACCAAAATGTTATCCAGGTTCAACAGATCCACGTTGTCCACAAATACCTACAACAACAGTAGAACCAAAATGCTATCCAGGATCATCGGATCCCGAATGCCTTAATTGTTTCCCTGGATCTCCAGATCCAAGATGTCCAAAAGTTCCTACAACACCTAAGCGAGGCTGTTATTCCGGCTCTAGTGATCCAAACTGCCAACCTGCTACATATTTGCCACCAACAACACGAACTCCAAAACCGAGATGTTATCCAGGATCAACTGATCCATTATGTCCACAAGCACAGAAAACAACAGCAAAACCAAGATGTTATCCAGGTTCGACAGATCCTTCCTGTCCACAAACACCGAGAACAACGCCGAAACCCAAGTGTTATCCAGGTTCAACTGATCCCTCTTGTCCACAAACAACAACCAAACTAAGCTGTTATCCAGGTTCTACAGATCCACGTTGTCCACAAACACCAAGAACTACATCAAAGCCAAGATGTTATCCGGGATCTCCAGATCCTTCATGCCCACAAACAACAACAGCTCCTAGTTGTTATCCTGGATCAACAGATCCTCGTTGTCCACAAACGCCGCCAACAACACAAAAACCAAGATGTTATCCAGGTTCAACTGATCCTTCATGCCCTCAACCACCAACGTACTTACCACCCACAACTACTTCAAAACCAAGATGCTATCCAGGTTCGAGGGATCCTTCTTGTCCACAAACACCCAGAACAACACCAAAGCCGAGATGTTATCCTGGATCTACAGATCCATCTTGCCCACAAACAACTACTAAGCCAACTTGCTTCCCAGGATCCACAGATCCTCGTTGTCCACAAACGCCTCGAACAACTCAAAAACCAAGATGTTATCCAGGCTCAACTGATCCTTCTTGCCCTCAACCACCCACGTATTTACCACCAACAACAACTTCAAAACCAAGATGTTATCCAGGCTCTACCGATCCTTCATGCCCTCAACCACCAACGTACTTACCACCAACAACAACTTCGAAACCAAGATGTTATCCAGGCTCCACCGACCCATCATGCCCACAAACTCCAAGGACAACTGCAAAACCAAGATGTTATCCAGGATCTACTGATCCCTCTTGTCCACAAACGCCGAAAACAACCTCTAAACCAAAATGTTACCCAGGTTCAACAGATCCACGTTGTCCACAAATACCTACAACAACAGTAGAACCAAAATGCTATCCAGGATCATCGGATCCCGAATGCCTTAATTGTTTCCCTGGATCTCCAGATCCAAGATGTCCAAAAGTTCCTACAACACCTAAGCGAGGCTGTTATCCCGGCTCCAGTGATCCAAATTGCCAACCTGCTACATATTTGCCACCAACAACACGAACTCCAAAACCGAGATGTTATCCAGGATCAACTGATCCATTATGTCCACAAGCACAGAAAACAACAGCAAAACCAAGATGTTATCCAGGTTCGACAGATCCTTCCTGTCCACAAACACCGAGAACAACGCCGAAATCCAAGTGTTATCCAGGTTCAACTGATCCCTCTTGTCCACAAACAACAACCAAACTAAGCTGTTATCCAGGTTCTACAGATCCACGTTGTCCACAAACACCAAGAACTACATCAAAGCCAAGATGTTATCCGGAATCTCCAGATCCTTCATGCCCACAAACAACAACAGCTCCTAGTTGTTATCCTGGATCAACAGATCCCCGTTGTCCACAAACGCCGCCAACAACACAAAAACCAAGATGTTATCCAGGTTCAACTGATCCTTCATGCCCTCAACCACCAACGTACTTACCACCCACAACTACTTCAAAACCAAGATGCTATCCAGGTTCGAGGGATCCTTCTTGTCCACAAACACCGAGAACAACACCAAAGCCGAGATGTTATCCTGGTTCAACAGATCCATCTTGCCCACAAACAACTACTAAGCCAACTTGCTTCCCAGGATCCACAGATCCTCGTTGTCCACAAACGCCTCGAACAACTCAAAAACCAAGATGTTATCCTGGCTCTACCGATCCTTCATGCCCTCAACCACCAACGTACTTACCACCAACAACAACTTCGAAACCAAGATGTTATCCAGGCTCCACCGATCCATCATGTCCACAAACTCCAAGGACAACTCCAAAACCAAGATGTTATCCAGGATCTACTGATCCCTCTTGTCCACAAACGCCGAAAACAACCTCTAAACCAAAATGTTATCCAGGTTCCACAGATCCACGTTGTCCACAAATACTTACAACAACAGTAGAACCAAAATGCTATCCAGGATCATCGGATCCCGAATGCCTAAATTGTTTCCCTGGATCTCCAGATCCAAGATGTCCAAAAGTTCCTACAACACCTAAGCGAGGCTGTTATCCCGGCTCCAGTGATCCAAATTGCCAACCTGCTACATATTTGCCACCAACAACACGAACTCCAAAACCGAGATGTTATCCAGGATCAACTGATCCATTATGTCCACAAGCACAGAAAACAACAGCAAAACCAAGATGTTATCCAGGTTCGACAGATCCTTCCTGTCCACAAACACCAAGAACAACGCCGAAACCCAAGTGTTATCCAGGTTCAACTGATCCCTCTTGTCCACAAACAACAACCAAACTAAGCTGTTATCCAGGTTCTACAGATCCACGTTGTCCACAAACACCAAGAACTACATCAAAGCCAAAATGTTATCCGGGATCTCCAGATCCTTCATGCCCACAAACAACAACAGCTCCTAGTTGCTATCCTGGATCAACAGATCCTCGTTGTCCACAAACGTCGCCAACAACCCAAAAACCAAGATGTTATCCAGGCTCAACTGATCCTTCATGCCCTCAACCTCCAACGTACTTGCCACCCACAACTACTTCGAAACCAATATGCTATCCAGGTTCGAGGGATCCTTCTTGTCCACAAACACCCAGAACAACACCAAAGCCGAGATGTTATCCTGGTTCCACAGATCCATCTTGCCCACAAACAACTACTAAGCCAACTTGCTTCCCAGGATCCACAGATCCTCGTTGTCCACAAACGCCTCGAACAACTCAAAAACCAAGATGCTATCCAGGCTCAACTGATCCTTCTTGCCCTCAACCACCAACGTACTTACCACCAACAACAACATCGAAACCAAGATGTTATCCAGGCTCTACCGATCCTTCATGCCCTCAACCACCAACGTACTTACCACCAACAACAACTTCGAAACCAAAATGTTATCCAGGCTCCACCGATCCATCATGTCCACAAACTCCAAGGACAACTCCAAAACCAAGATGTTATCCAGGATCTACTGATCCCTCTTGTCCACAAACGCCGAAAACAACCTCTAAACCAAAATGTTATCCAGGTTCAACAGATCCTCGCTGTCCGCAGACACCGCGAACAACTCCAAAACCAACATGTTATCCAGGTTCAACAGATCCCTCTTGCCCTCAAACAACAACACAATTAAATTGCTACCCCGGTTCAACAGATCCTCGTTGTCCTCAAATTCCAAAGACGACGCCCACACCAAGCTGCTATCCAGGTTCAACAGATCCACGTTGCCCACAAATACCTACAACAACAGAAGAGCCAAAATGCTATCCAGGATCATCGGATCCCGAATGCCTAAATTGTTTCCCTGGATCTCCAGATCCAAGATGTCCAAAAGTTCCTACAACACCTAAGCGAGGCTGTTATCCCGGCTCCAGTGATCCAAATTGCCAACCTGCTACATATTTGCCACCAACAACACGAACTCCAAAACCGAGATGTTATCCAGGATCAACTGATCCATTATGTCCACAAGCACAGAAAACAACAGCAAAACCAAGATGTTATCCAGGTTCGACAGATCCTTCCTGTCCACAAACACCGAGAACAACGCCGAAACCCAAGTGTTATCCAGGTTCAACTGATCCCTCTTGTCCACAAACAACAACCAAACTAAGCTGTTATCCAGGTTCTACAGATCCACGTTGTCCACAAACACCAAGAACTACATCAAAGCCAAGATGTTATCCGGGATCTCCAGATCCTTCATGCCCACAAACAACAACAGCTCCTAGTTGTTATCCTGGATCAACAGATCCTCGTTGTCCACAAACGCCGCCAACAACACAAAAATCAAGATGTTATCCAGGCTCAACTGATCCTTCATGCCCTCAACCTCCAACGTACTTGCCACCCACAACTACTTCAAAACCAAGATGCTATCCAGGTTCGAGGGATCCTTCTTGTCCACAAACACCCAGAACAACACCAAAGCCGAGATGTTATCCTGGTTCCACAGATCCATCATGCCCACAAACAACTACTAAGCCAACTTGCTTCCCAGGATCCACAGATCCTCGTTGTCCACAAACGCCTCAAACAACTCAAAAACCAAGATGTTATCCAGGCTCAACTGATCCTTCTTGTCCTCAACCACCCACGTACTTACCACCAACAACAACTTCAAAACCAAGATGTTATCCAGGCTCTACCGATCCTTCATGCCCTCAACCACCAACGTACTTACCACCAACAACAACTTCGAAACCAAGTTGTTATCCGGGATCTCCTGATCCACGTTGCCCTCAAACAACAAAATTACCTACAACAACTACCAGATGTTATCCTGGATCACCAGACCCAGATTGCTTAAATTGCTTCCCTGGCTCTCCGGATCCAAGATGTCCAAAAGTTCCTACAACACCAAAGGCAGGATGCTATCCAGGTTCAAGTGATCCAAAATGCCAGCCAGCCACATATTTACCACCAACAACAAAGGCAAGGTGCTTTCCTGGCTCTAGTGATCCCGATTGTATACTCATAACAACAACAACACCAAAACCAACTTCTAAACCAAGGTGTTATCCTGGTTCCATTGACCCGTTATGTCCACAAACACCGAGAACCACAAAGACACCAATCTGTTATCCAGGTTCCACTGATCCTCAGTGTCCGCAAACGCCTAAGACAACACCTAAAACAGTATGTTATCCTGGCTCAACAGATCCTACGTGTCCACAAATAACGACAACACCAAGTTGCTACCCAGGTTCAACTGATCCCAGCTGTCCTCAAACGCCAGCTACAACACTTAAACCTAAATGCTATCCTGGCTCAACGGATCCTTCCTGTCCTCAGCCTCCTACATATTTACCTCCAACAACTATAACGAAACCAAAATGCTATCCAGGTTCAACTGATCCTCGCTGTCCGCAAATACCGAAAACAACGCTTAAACCGAGATGTTATCCCGGTTCAACTGATCCTACTTGTCCGCAATTAACTACTAAACCTAGCTGTTACCCTGGTTCAACTGATCCACAATGTTCTCAAACGCCAGAAACAACTCCTAAACTAAGATGTTATCCTGGTTCGACAGATCCTTCATGTCGTCTGCCTCCAACATATCTACCACCTACAACTACTGCGAAGCCGAAATGTTATCCCGGTTCAACTGATCCTTCTTGTCCACAAGTAATTACACAACCAAGCTGCTATCCAGGATCAACGGATCCACGTTGTCCACAAACTACTCGACAAACAACAGTTTCAAAACCGAGATGCTATCCAGGTTCACTTGACCCAGCTTGTCCAGGAATTCTGACAACTACCAAAAAGCCCGAATCTTTCATAACTACGACAACTTATCCAATCACTACACCTTCATATTGCTTCCCTGGCTCTATTGATCCAAGGTGTCCTGATAGTGGATATAAAGGTACAAGTAGAATACCCGCTACATATTTGCCGCCACTTAGTGAACCTGGATATGATAGGACTATACGCGATCTCAAGGCCTCATTTCTCAATGAAATAAACAAGTTGGCATTCAGTAATAACAACGTCTTTGAATTAGAAGACGATGGCGAACAAGAAGACGAAGTGGAAAGTAGACGGAAGAGAGACATTTCTTCGAACAACAGTTATGATGATGAGCTTGATTTGTATGCATTCAGCGAATCGAATGACGATATTCTTTCAAGAAAAGTTGTGAAACGTGAATATAACGAAAACCCGCCACAAAAAGAAATTATTTCTATTACGCTCGGTGTACGAACTCCATTTAGCGTGGCTTAGGAACTACATATTCAAATATCTCAAGATGTTGAATGATAGTACCTTTAAATCGTAAAGACAAGTCTTTTCAAATTCTGCAGTTCATGTTTATATTAATAAATTTCTTAATACTCTCTTGTACATACTTTTAAACTAAGGACAATTTTAATACTCATTGCTTAGGCCTTACGATATGTTTTTATATTTTAGTTTTTTTTTTTTAATTTAAATTGTTAATATTATTATTTTGGTTTTTATAAAAATTGTAATGGGGTTGTTTTATTATGTATGTTAGGTCTTTTCTACTTTTTTGTTAAGTTCCGAACACTATGACAGTTCAACAATGTAAGAAAACTTTTTCGAAGTGCACGATTTTGTTCGTATTAAAATGTATTAAAAACGAAATTATTATTTATGCTTTAGTATTGCGACATTTTATTTAAAAACTTGTATACTCGTAAGTTAATAAATCGAACAAATGTAAATTTAAACCATGTTTCTTTTATTTATCCATAGGAATCATATATCTAATTCATGTTTGTTACCCTCAAAGAGCAATACAATACAATCGTTTAAAAATGTGAACTCCTTCAGAGACTTTTCTTGTGTGGTCGTAATATAAACAAAACACATTCTTCGAAGTGGTATTTTCAATTTCGAGAATTAAAAAGGTAACAATGGGTCATGCCAAGTAAATATAATGTTTGATCGATGATTCGAAGGTGTAATTGTAAAATAGGTGATATAAATACGTTGGGTAGCAGATACTGAATAGTCACACAAAGTGAAGAACAAAATTATCGTATCGATGTATTTTTTTTTCAAATTTTAATTCCAATTTGTTAAAAATTTAAAAAATAACTAAAGCCAATTATTAAATTTCATATCTAAAACAATAAAAATAAAAACTGGAACAAAAAAAAAAACTGGAACAATAAAAATAAAAACTGACAATAAAAACCTGGAACTTGAGCATTGAAAGTTTGTGCAGCCTTGGCTTCTTGTGGATAAACACGATTAGTCATCGCTTCTAATTTGACAGGCACGAGTTCTAAGCATGGCACTTGCAGTCCAAACAAATTATATACGGACTTAAACTAATTAATAATAAAATTCGATTATTTCAAAAGACCACTGATGAAGAGTACTTGGCAATACTCGAAACAGCGTTGTATGGTCAGCCAAATTTCAATAAAATTAAAATAAATTTTTGTGTTTGTCCTTTAATTCTTTCTTTGTTATTCAAAACGCCTCTAAATTTTAATAAAGCTTCTTTGTCACTATACAAAGAAAGTCTAGCTTTACAGCAACACGAATACTTTATTTAAAAATAATAAACATATCCATTCACCATCTAAACTTTTTTGTATAAAAATCATGTGTCTTTATTCTTAAAAAATAGGGTTATACCCTCTGACTTTCAAAGCCATTGCAAGGTGCACGAACTGTAAAAATACTATATGAAAATTGCAAAAATGCAAGAACTACTCTGTTGCAGAATTGCAATATTAAAATGAAACAGCTGTTTTCGCAGTATGCCACATCCACATGAGAAGCAACAGATGTTAAAACAGCTGTTTTTTCCTCTAGTAACATTGCAAGCAATTACAAGAAATTTTGTGAGTGTATTTTGTTATTGTCCATTGCAAGCGCGCGTAATTTGTGCCCTTCATGCACCACGCAAAGGAGTTTGCAAGACAGAGTGAATACCCCTATTATGTTTGTATTTGGTTTTTGTAATAATGTGGTTTATAAATATTGTTTACAGTATGCAAATTATAATATTTGTATTGAAATTATAACAAAAAATTATAACTAATTTATTGAAGATAGCCAACAAATATAATCATTACTTTGAATACCCATTATTTTACTATACTAATGTATATATATTTACTAGTATTAGAAATATATTTGGTTAGCATTTTATAAAATTTATTCGATGTTGATAGATGGTTTTCTTTAGTGTAGATGTCATTTCATTTTTCAAGCAAACATTTAAAAATAAGATTGTTAACAAGTGTGCTTGTGTTGACACAAAGTATTCGTACATTAATTAAATTCCTTATTTAAATAAATCTGCTTGCTCATCAAACTCTTGCCAATTTCTATTTGGCAAGAGTTTTCCTAGTACCAAAAAATATAAATCTAACATCTTTCTGTGCCTAATATTGACAAATACAGCAGCAGATGAGTAGCAATGGCGTACCACATACTTAATTATCAATGCGCGTGTATTTAAGACTGAATTCTTTAATTAATTAAAATTAAGTTTGTCTGTGCAAAAACAGAAATTTGGTTTTCACTGGCATAGAAATTTGAAACTTTTGCCTTCCTAATAATCCCAAATAAGATGCAAACACCGAAGTCGAAGCAATACAGTATGCGTACCGCCTTTTCAAAGTTGTTTCATAAAAAATTTCCTTGCTAGTAAGGAACACATAAAACAAGGAATAAAGGAATACATAAAATTTTGCGCAAATTTTACGCATGTAGAACATGTCCTGATCCATAATTCATACACAGAAGTAATGCTTAGCTACGCTAAAAGTTCTGTACAGACTTTAAAAAAGAGAAAGGCAAAAAGTTTAGCACTTTTACTCTTAAATTAGAATGAATTGTTACTTTTGAGGAATTGATTAATACTTAAATTGTAAACATGAATTTGTGAATCCTTTTTTATCCTTATAAACTTTCTTGGTGATTTAGCGGAACATATACAAATAAGAATATTCCTTTATTTATAATACATAAAATGTATTACGTTTTTTAACGTTTATACGCATACGTTTACTCAAAGACAACAAATGTAAATACAAACAGAGATATTTTATTAAAATTATCTTAAAATTTTTATTTTTCCTTTCATTCACTTATCAAAAACATGACAACTTTGATACATCCCTTAATACGGTATCTATTTACATACACATACGTAACAACAAAAAGTCAAGATATAAAATAAGATCTGATTTCACTGAAGTTCAAATACTCCATTCACGTAGGTAATATTGAGTTGTACACCATATGTACCATATATGTATTTATTTACTTTTTTAGCTTCCTAACAAATTTATATTGTGACGTATAAACATATACACTCGGATTTATATTTTGGATTTATAAATATCTTTCCAAATTAATTATTTTGTATGAACTCTACATGAAACAGTTAAGCAATTTCCTGCATTTGTCATCTCAACATTCACAATGTACATATATTATTTCTTCCGATGAGCTCCATGACTGAAGTATACGATTAAACGTCGATTAAGCCTATTCTTTATAAGATATCATTTATCAAAAAAATATTTATTTAAAGAATGGCTTTAATCGTCTTTTTGAAAAATTATGAGTTTAATTGAATATATTCGGAAACAGATGTGGACAACCCTAAGTCAACAATGCAAATGACAACCCTACCAGCTGTGAAATGGTATACAGTGGAGCGGTATACAGTAGCAGTGATAGTGGTCAGCGTGCATTCGTTGAGGTTCATTAGAATTTCCAGAGCCCCAGATCATTTTTGTAAGGTTTGCAAACTGGTTGCTTCTGGTAGAAGAATAATTTGACGCAGAATATTCTCTTTATGGAAGATTCAATAAGAAAGATTAATGGAAATTATAAAATAGGCGTTTCAAGATACAGACGATAATACCTTTCATTGCTGACTGCTGGGATTTTGCTTTTTTTAAATATATTAAGGCTTATTTCCGATTTATTTTTGTAGTATAGTGATAAACCCCAATTTTGTCTATGATTACATATTGTATGAAAAAGTCGTTCTTATTTTCCTGAAATATGTTTAAGCATAGTTTCAAACCATTAATTTCGGCTTTATTCTGAAGCTTAATATAATATACAAACTGAAAACATTGTTTTAACAAAAGCGATTTCAAAAACTACAAAATCTGTTATGAATTCTTTTAAGACAGAGAGGCGTAGCCAGGAATTCAAAAAGATGGGAGGAGTGAAATTTTAGAAAATATATATTTTTGTAGTACATTTAATTAATTCTAACACGAGTTACCAACAGCATCATGAATATAGACTTCAATGTGTACCTATATAAATATGTGCAGGTGGAAAATAATATTCACATTGGTATTATTTTCAAAAGTTTTATTTAGTGGCATAGTCAGGGGGTAAAGAATAAATCCCCTCATTGACAATATAATCTTCAGATAATGCACTGTAAATTTACTACCAAAAAATATTTTCGATTATATTCTCTCTTGGTTAAACCCTGACACTCCATTGGTTTTATTTCAAAACATTCTCACCTGAAGAACTAAAACTATAGTTATACCTTTAGCTATTAATAAATATTGACAAATTTTTTCCAGAGTTATTTCTAACGAACTATGAAATTAAAAATTCGTAAATTATAATGCCAAGAGGAAGATTTATATTCTTAATTCTCCCACCAAACCCTCCATTTGATGTCATGAGATTTAAATCGATGAAAATATTTTATAAAATTAATGATTATATATCTTTAACACATCTTTAATAAAAGATGATGATTTCAATGCGTTTTGCATACATCTTCGATACATACGACACTCTTATAAAGTAGATATATGTAAATATACTTGAAATCTAAAAAAGGACAATATTGTATTAGATTTTCAAAACAATCTCATCGAAAACTCTAACAAAACATGTATATGAATATCAATTATGATATTATTTTATTCAACGATGTGCTTTTTTCTAAATCGAAGGAAGCAAATATATGATTACCAGATATATTGTAGATGAAATTATTAAGAGCTAATGTTTTAATTTTTTTCCATGTCAGTATACAAATAGTGTCAGTATTTCCGAGTGGAAGGGTAGAAATGTGTGTCATAATTTCTCACGTTTCTCATTTTCTGTTCCCATTTTGTTGAGTTCACGTTTTATATTCCGCACATATAAATTATCATGTGAAAGTCATGTATCTACATGACAAGGCATTATGCATGCGGGAAGAGCAAAAATATTTCAACTTTATTTCCGTGCCCGCCATAATTTAACACCGCAATGGGATGTATAATTTTCGCTGTTGTTGGTTTCTTCTTAAATAGCTCTTCATGTATTTAAACATAAGTAAGTTCTTTAAGAAGTGCTTTAAAGTAAACCAGTTTAATTTAATTAGAAAATGTAATTACTATCTTATAACTGAATATTATTATTAATTGTTTCAAAGTGCCAAATAATGTTAAATGCAGAAAATGACATGAAAAGTTTTGAAATGTTGCAGTATAGTACATTTTAAATATGTCTTAAGATATGTTATAATCAAATAATATCATAGTTATATATAATACATATGTATACTATTAATAATGGATGCCAAGCAAAAAGTGACAAAAATTTCTTATGCAGGATCAAATCATTTTAATATTTTTTTTTTTTTTCGCTTAAAACAATAATATCCGCCGCTTTTTAATTAGCGTTTAAGATGATACATTATAGCAA